CATCCACCCAGTCATCCAAACATTCAGTATGTGTAGCTAACCCTTGAAGTGCAAGCAATATATCTTCCCTTATTTCTCTATTTTTATTCTCAAGGAGATCAGCCATCTCCTCTTTTATTTCTTGTGTTGCTTGCTTTAAAGCATCTTGAATATCTTTAAGCATAAATGCGGGTGGTGGGGGAGAAGGTGGGGGGGATTTAGGTTTAGATTGCACTACAGGCTGTGCTACAGGAGAAGAAATTGTACTTTTAGAAACAGCAGAAAATCCTACACACTTTGAAGCCATTTTCCTGCATATATGAATCTACTTCTTATAAGTTTCACTTTCCCCTTAAACTTTGTTATCAATTATCTCTCTTTCTTGACACTGTCCTTTCAAAAAAAAAAAAAAAGCAGCATTCCGGCGCCATTTTTTCCTTTTAAGTCAAATGAAAATATGGAGAAGATTATTTCTCCCCGAGTTAAAGATTCCAGCACTTGCAATTTTAACTTCTCCTGGTCAGCTCTGTCTGCTTTTAATTTACTCACAAGTCCCTTTAAAATGCAGATGTGTATACGGCGTCTTGCTTTGCTCCTGAAACTCAGGGCAAAGGCGTCCTGGAGTGGACAGAAAGCCTCAGGCTCCAAGGGAACTCTCACCCTCCGACCTCCAAATAATTAAGGAGGTCTAGAGGAGCGCTACCTCTACCCATGGGCAACTCTCCTCCCCCTCTTCTCCCGAGGGGGGAGGTTTTCAAGCCGCAGGACAGCTGATTTTCGCTTTCTCCGCACGCTTTTACACAATCACAGGGCTGGCAGCCAGAAAAAAGCCGCCATCAGCGCAGCATCACCACTGGAAAGTCCATCATTATACATTTTTGAACCCAGAAATTTATGACTTTTTTACAAATTAACCAAGCATGACAAATTATCCTTTTATGTTGTCCAAATTTCTCATTTTCACCATTAAACTGTAGTACCTTTATGCATTCTAGATATTTTTTCTGAAATCATATGCCAATGATATATCATTTTATAAAGATTCTAAGTTTTAAAATGTAAATTTCAATTCTTTTAAATCATCTATTCTTCCACTATCCCATCAGTATATCCTGTTCAAAGTCCTTAGCCCATATTATCATACAATCTTTCACATGCCACAATGGCGGTTCCTATGGAAGGATCTTCTTTGATTACTTTGAGGCCCAGTAAACATGCTTTAAGCACAGGTTAAAAACCCAGCCATACCTGTAATTTAATGGTTTTAGTCCAATAGTTTCTACCTTGTGCTCCATGAGGATACTATAGTTTACATATGTAGTGAGTTAATATCAACAGTTACTTATGTATTCTACACATTATATTCAAAGTTATATTAGTATTTAGAATGTAAATTGTTTCTCAAATATCTGCAATATTAACATTATCTTAAGTTCAGTTAATAGTGCTTTCAGTAATGCTTTTCAGTAGTGTGACAAGTGAAATGACACACTTTAGCAGTTAGCACTTGAGAAGCTGTAAATGAATTTTCACTTGTTACTGTCAGCGTAAGCCAAAGAAAAACACAGAACAATTCATCTAGAGTTCAGTTCTTTATTTGCTTACATATGACAGAATCTTGCCAGACTAGATCCTTACTACTCTTCAGCTTAACGAATATATAGCGAGTGCCTATCCTTACTATCTTTCCTATCCAGTTCTGGATTGTGCTGCCTCTTGCCTCCCCTACTTTTCTGAAATATGCTCCCTCCTTCCTGGGAAACTGCTGCTTCACTGTAATTCATCACACCAGCTAACCATCCATGGGCACCATCTCTTACAAGTAGATAAATGCTCATTTAAATGGCTTGCTCAGGTAACAGCCAGAAAACTTTTCTATGGAAATGGTCAACGTTAAGAAAAAAGTTAGAAATTCCTGTTTTCATCCACTTTCCAATTATTGTAAGTCTTTTCAAGGAACTATTATGTGTAATGAATAACAACATGCAAATATTTTAATTAATAAATACTATGCAATAAAGAGAAATGGAAATTGTGTTAAGGTACCTAATGCTATCTAACATAAGAATATATAATGCAATAGTGTGACCAACTCTTTATGGTTATGAAAACTGACCTTCTAGAATTGAAGAATGTTAACAAACTACAACCTTTTTATCTTGCTGTCTATGTTGCATCCTTAGTATCAAAGTTCTAATTAATGATATGAAATGAAGAGGCCCACAGAAAATGTAAAGTGGTGGCTATCTAGGAGTTAATAAAAATCAGGTGATGGCTATGGATCAGTCATGTGTTGACAGTGCTGACAATCAATTATCAAAGCCAGTTTTCACCAGCTTCAGTGAACCATCATAGAAACAGCACTATGCTGATTTGCATTAGTGAAATATTCATTCAGAAAGAAACAGAAATTATTTTACTGAAGTCTCTAAAATTTAGTAAGAAACAGTAGCGGAAATTGGCAAGTTTCCCTTCTAACAATCCTTTTTTAATCACATAGAGTTGGATCAAATGATGAATCAGATAATCATGCCTCCCACACCATGATGTGCCTATATCTGAGTGGGTGGATACAGTGGCAATAAATAAGTAAGCAAGGATACTGCTTAGATTGTAGAAAAATGTAAATGTAAGAGGGAAGCAGGGTAGGCATCAGCAGTAGGCCCTATTCAGTTGAAAATGCGAGATGCTAATATCACCTTTGCTGGTATTTGATTAAAGTCACAATACAAGAGAACATATGTACTCAGATATGAACTGATGATAGTACCTAGCTGGGTAACAAAACACCCAAACTTAGAGAGACCAAGAACTCCATAATTAAAATTACTCTGTTGTGCAATTCATTTTTCCTGGAATTTAAGAAACAATAGTGATTGGATAATGGGTCTCTATAGAAAGAGTGCCAATGGACCACAAATTATGACTTACACAATAAAAAAAATATATCTAAAATGTATTGGACTCCATTATGCTTGTATAGAAAGGCATTGTCAAAAACAGTATTTTGTAATATATATATATATATATTATAAAAATAAGTAAGATACGACCACCAGGAGAATTTAAATATAAAAAATACTTTACTAAAACCACCAAGCTTTTGTTGGGAACTCCCAACATCGTCAGGGCTAAAAGCCAGATAACAACGATGACTCAATAGGTTTGGTTGACATTTGCACCCGACTCCTGGACCGCGTCACCAGCCCAGGCCGGTCAATTTGTGTTCCAGATGTTTCCTTCTGTCATTCTTCCAGATTACTCCTCCTACTATTTCGTTGCTAACATTCAAATTTGTTAACACCCCTTTGTCCTCCTTCCTTCTAATGGTATTAACTCCCACCTCATTTTTCCTTCTCCTATCTACTTTGGGGGTATCTGGTTCTCTTTTAACACTGCCATCAGTCTCACTGGGGTTCCGGTTGTTTCTTATTAACTTCTTCTTCTTTTTTTTTCAGAATAGACGTGTCACAATTATTACCTCCTAGAAGTTTGGTTTATTAGTCTGTTCACTGCAACAAACAAAATGTTCACTTTTAAACTCTTTCTTTGCTTTCCCAGTCAATTTTCTGAGACTGGAACGTTGCTGCTTCTTTTTGTGAGGCCTCTGGCTACAGGGAGCATAAAAAAAGAAAAATGATATTTATTATTCTCCCAAGCACATTTATACTACAACGTCAAATAAAAAGTTATCAGAATGTTTATTGCTCAGCTAAAAGTTAGATTCAGGGCTAAGATTTTATAAAAATGAAATATTAAAAAAAATCCTGGAAGATATATGACAGATTGTATACTTGTCACCAAATTCTCTCCCCAACATCTGCCTTTGGTTATAAGAACCATCTATAATAGGGGTTCCCAACCAGGGATGCTTGCACCCCCTAGGTGTGCAATATGATATTCCAGACGGTGCGAAAACTTGGATTTTCAAAATTAAAGTGTATATGCATAATTCACCCTTATTTCGAACTTTTGTAAGGGGTGTGAGAATATATCAAAAGCGTTCTAGGGATGCGGGGTATAGAAAAGATTGGGATCCACTGATCTATAACAACAACTAGTATAACAATTATCATGTTTGGAACAACAAAAGCTAAAGTTCTTTTATCAGGATTTTATCAGCACATTTCAGAAGAAAAAAGATGGAAAGCTGGACCCTTCCATCTCTCCTGCTGAAAGGCCAACTCCATTAGTCTACTGTTCAGTATCCAGCTGATCTTTACAGAATAATTATTTTAATAATTATTAAATAATATGATATGGGAAGCCAATCATCTAAGGCAAAACAAACCAGGAGTTAGCCTAAAATATAAATCATAAAAATACACATATGGTCAGGAATACATGGTTTTTCAATCCCAGTTTTTTCTAGTTGTATTCACAATTCGTTGTAAAGCAGGTTAGCTTGAAAATAGTGAGCAGCTTTTGAACTGATCTGATCTCGTTAACTTAGGTGCAGGACGTTGCAGTCCAGAACAAAGCTGCACTTTCAGTGTACTACTGGTATTTTAGGTGCAAAAAAATCGACGAGTACTGTATCAAACGAATGGAGTACCGAGCCAGCGACCTTATGTGTGAAGCCGCGGTTTAATGCGAACTTACCCGACCTTTGTACATTGATCCTTGCCCAGAGCAGAAATGCAAAAACATGTAAAATACGGAAAAGCGGATTCCGTATTTTAGGAATTGTCGCTATTAGCAAGCCTAAATCGATCGACTACACACAACAGTTGGCGACGCTAGAATGACCCTATATTTGAACATCTCCTACAGAGAAAACACGATTTGGAGGAAACTGTAGCCGAGTCAAGAAAGTTTCCTTCTCTGCAATTTGCACAAGAATTCTCGGCACCTCCTCGAATTGTATAAGGAGGGATTGCGAAACCTGGGAAAAGAGTAGAACATGCGTCAGCTCCTCCCCCAACGGACCAAAACTAACTGCAGCCGTCCAATGGAGAACGCCGAACTGACGCCACGCATTTTTTTTCGGTGTTTTCAGAGATGAAGCCTCTCTAGGCAGCCGGCCGGTCGCTCGATAGTGGGGCGGGACTGAAGGGTGACGCGCTGACGCGACTGCCATCGGGCGGGTCCCGTGATGGCTGGCGTTGGCACCACTGCCGCGGTTGCTCTGTCGCTTGCTGCGCTCCCGGCGACTACTTTAGGAGCCGTTCTCGGCCGCCGTAGCAGTGCTACCATGGTTGACGACGAGTCCGCGGAGTTCGCCAACGAACGGTGAGTTAAGGAGGGGGAAGTGAGGCTGCAAGCCGGTTGGCCAGCGGTGTCACCCAGCGCGCTATTGAGAGGCCCTCTCTCGTCGGCTCCGTCTGACGCGCCGGTGTTCCCAGATGCTCTCGCTGGCCCGGCTTGCTGTCCTAGAACTGGAAACTTGCCTGTTTCCGTCGCCGGCACGCGTATAGCCTTTTCTAGGATGCATAATTCTGATGTTGCCTCAGTGACAAGTGCATGATAACTGTGTTTTTGTCACAGTATTACAGTAAAAATAACTGTATTTCCAAGGTGCTTGGCAATAATGTTGGGTCCCAGAGACCCTCATAGCAAAGTGTAGCCCCCCAAATCTACTGGTCCCAAATGCGCTGGGAATGCAATTCCCAAAATTCCAGATGGGAGCTAGACTTTGGTACTTCACATGGGTGGTTTTAGGTCAATGGCAGATGACAAGTACATTTGTAGGAGCGGGTTCTAAGTAGAAATAGAGGAAGAAGTGGCAGATATTCCTAGCAGATAGTCTAATAATATCTTTATAAAGATATTCTGAATAAGGAAGACAATTGAATAACAGCTATTCCAATCCACATGTACACTTTGTGTAACCTCAATAAAGTTTTATTATGATCCTCTTAGATGAATTTTCATGAGGATGAAGGGACAATAAGCCTAAAGGAATGACAGTGATGAAATCTGAGTCTGCCAGTGATACTGGGACAGAACTATATTTCTTTCATTATTTAGAATTTTAAGCCCAGCATCTATCATGAAAATACCCCATAACTCACAGGCCACTGAGTGATAGAACAGCTCCAAACCAATGCAGAAATCCAGGTCTAGGAATAAAGGCTTATTCATGAATCAGGAATTTCTCCAGATTACACCTTGCTTCTTGAGGCCTAATGAATGTCAATTGAAGTTGGGTGGAGTCCACTGCTACCTTTGCATAAAAGTCTTGGGCAAAGACAATTAAATGTTGAAGACAACATCATTTATAATCTTCCTTTATATGGGATTGTCCAGACATAGGTAAAATTTTATTTTTGTATTATTTTTACATTTTAATAAATTATAAAAAATGACAAAACACCTAAATGCACTAAAAAAAATCCCACACACAATTAACTAAACTAACTTTAAACTTAGAGAAAAATTAATAGAAATGGAAAGACAGTTATAATCCTCCAAAAAAAGAAACAAGAAAAAAGTCAAAACTTATGAACAGGTAGTCCTCAACTTACAACCACAATTGAGCCCCAAATTTATGTTGCTAAGTGAAACATTTTTAAAGTGAGTTTTGCCCCATTTTATGATTTTTCTTGCCACTGTTGTTAAGTTAATCATTGCAATTGTTAAGTTAGTAACATGGTTGTTAAGTGAATCTAGCTTCCCGAATGATTTTGCTTGTCAGAAAGTCACAAAAGCTGATCACGTGACCCTAGGACACTGCAATTTTCATAAATATGAACCAGTTGCCAATCATCTGAATTTTGATCATGTGACCATGGGGATACTGCAATGGTCGTAAGTGTGAAAAATGGTCATAAGTCACTTTTTTGTATTAATCTGATTATTACAAAATAATTATTACAAAATATTATTATACAATTATTGTACAATATCACAAAATCTCTTCCATAATAGTACGTATTTCTTTCTTTTTTGATTAGTAATAAATATTGCCTTAACAATATTAAAGGCAGTATTTAACGCCACACATTTCTGAAAGTCTTTCCTTAACCTAATTCTTTTAGTCACTCATGTTTCAGTATAACCACATTTTCTGATAAAAAGTCAGATTTTGAAGCTTTGGTATATATAGTAATTCAACATCATATTAATATCTTTAATATTTAAAGATTTTCCATAAATCTACTTATATGTTAGCATGACAAAAAGATATCATATAATGATGATCATATCAGATGTGATGCTAAACTCTCAATTTTTACACCTCAAACCTAGAAAATCTGATCAATTTTTCTTAATCAGACATTTAGGCTGTTCTTGATAGTTATCCTGCTTCTGCTATTTCCAATCCCTGGATTGGACTTTGACCATTCTTGTTACTTTTCTGATGTGTCTTTTGTGTTCTTGGTCTTTTATTCAGAAGATATATTTCTTTCTTTTGTCTCTTTGAGTAAGATACTTTTTTAATAGACCTATTAGTTTTCTTAAGAAAATTTCCCTCTTCTTTTTTATTACAAAGATTACAATTCTCTTACAGCAGAATGGCAAGAGAATTCTTGCTACATTTAACTGCATTTAATTAAAAAATCAACTACTATATGTTTATACTTGTTTTGGAGGAAAAATAATGTATGTGCTTCAGAAATTATTCAGAAGAATAATATTAGGCTTTTGTGAAAGCCTGAAAAAGTGATATTACTGCTCTGATGGTTTCTTAATGAGTTGATTGCTTAAATGGTTTTTTTTTTAAAAAAAAGGTGGCACAGAAATCAGACAGAGGTTGGGCCTTGAAAAATTAATAAATAAATGGAGCAGTCCTGTGAGGTCCACTTTTTCCTAATGATGTTCATAGTACATCCAACTGTACTGTATATTGCTTTCACTTCATCAGTGAAGCAGGTTAGGTAGAGATGTGATACCTGGAATTAGTCTTCTAGGAAATACTCTAGACCAGGGGTGTCAAACTGCCAGCTCCCAGGCCATTGCATCATGCAGAGGCCGTGCCCACCCCAGCTCTGGCAATGCAAAAAAAATTGTGATACGTTGCAACATGTCACGTTACGCAGCATGTTTGACACCCAGACTGATGTTAAACTACGGGTAGTCCTTGACTTTCCGTTCATTTAGTGACCATTCAAAATTACAATGGCATTGAAAAAACTGTCTTTTCACACTTACAACTGTTGCACCACTCCATGGTCACATGATCAAAATTCAGATGCTTGGCAACTGACTGGTATGATGGTTGCAGTGTCCCAGGGTCATGTGATCACCTTTTGCGACCTTCTGACAAGCAAAATCAATGGGGAAGCCAGATTCATTTCACAACTGTGCTACTATCTTAACCAGTGCAAGTGATTACTTAACAACTGCCACAAAAAAGATAATAAAATGGGGAAAACTCACTTAACAAATGTCTCACTTAGCAACCTAAATTTTGGGCCCAATTGTGGTCATTAGTCAAGGACTACCTGTACTCCTAATAACTGATATTCCATAGGAGGATGTTCTTTTAGAGCAGACATTTTTAGGAGCTATTAGTTTAAAGCAGATTTTTTTGGATGATGATTTTACTATTTTCTGTGAGATTAACAAAACATTTCAGAATCAAAGGGGTTCACTTTGGCATCTTTGCATACAGTATTTTGAAGAATGTTGGATGATAGGAAATTCATGAAAAACCATTTAAAAGTTTTAAGTGCATTATGCAGTGACACCAAAATAGTTAAATATTTTTAAGCAAGCTTAAGGAAATTAAATTGTAAATGTAGATGGATATAATAAATCTATACAATATACAGCTACATATATTATCTGTTAAGAAAAATAAGTCATTTCCCCAATCATTTCATACTGCTTTCTGTAACTAACAATATTTTTTATTATCAGTAGGCTCTTTTAATTATTTTAAGGACAAGACAGAAAAGAGGCACGGTTGTAACCAAATCCTATGACACTGAACTCATGCAAAATCTCCAAAACCTTCAATGCAGTCTTAACAATAGTATTTATATATAATCAATTATGCAAAATTTATTTCAGCTGGAAATTTCATGAGAACAATTGGTTTGGTCTGATAAATCAGGAAGAGTTCTCAATCCCAATTTGAATGATTAGTCACAATTCCTTTCAGTCAGCATTTCTCACAAATTGATTGTATAATTTCAGTCCTTCAAGCATTCAACATTAACCTTCTTACAAGGTGACATTCAGAATGCCTGAATTTGAAGAAAGCATAACAAAATTCTTAGCATACATTCTATAACAGCCTTTAACCTAAAGTGTCGTCACATATAGCACTGCTAAAAAAAGTGTAGAAAAGTACTGTGGTTGGCGTTAATTATTATAATCCCATCTTATTTGGCAAATCAAGGGCCAATGTAACTATCCAGTTTTATGTATACTAAGTAGCTCCTGAGTAGAATAAATTGTATTATTTTTAATTTGATTCTTGAATTCTTATTTCTGAATGCTTTTAAAAAACAATAATTATATAAGGAACTTGTTATTTTCCCTCTCACCTAATGTAGCAACAAATTGTAGTAATGCCAAGGCCTCTTGGAACAGATGTTCAGTAGGCTTCCTAGAAATATTGTGTAGAATTTTTCTTCCTTTTCTAGATATTCCTCTCTAATACAGGGAACTATAACCCACTACTTTATTTTAGAGATAAGTTTTACATTTAAAAAAGGAAAGTGCATATAAACTGGAAAAGAAGACTATTCTGAGACAGCTTCAGATAGCTACCTTGCACTGAAAACCATTATGATTCTAAATGTATGCGCCATTTGTGACTGAATAACTAACACATAATGAAAACAGTTTAAATTGTCCTGCAGTGTATCTCATTTGTACTTTTAATCTAAAACTAGGAAGTGACCTGATACTGGTTCAAAAGGTACTCGGTTCTATGGCCAGGGGTTCTGTCCCCCTTGGAAGTGTACTTTACAATGCTCTTTGTATTCTTCAGAGTCTTAGGCTGTCCATGTTTTTAAAAAATACAAGATTTTATACAATATTTCTTTTAAAAAAAACTTTAGCAAAAACATTTAATACAATATTGTATCTAAAGCATACAAGTAGACTTATGACCATTCATTTAATGATGGTTCAAAGTTACAATGGCCTTGGAAAAAATGTCTTATGATGTGTCTTCAAATTTATAACATCGCAACACCCCTGTAGTCATCTGGTTACAATTTGGCTGCTTGACAATTGTTTTGTCACATGTTTTGTCAAAAAATTATGAGCATTTGACAAGCAAAATCAATTGAGGAAACTCAGTTTGCTTAGCTACTGCGTGATTCACTTAATGAAGACAGTAAAAATGATTGTAACATCAGGTCCAGTTATATGACTCCCTTAATGAGCACATTGCTTAGTGACCAAAATTCCAGTCCCAGTTGTTGTAAGTTGAGGACTACTTGTACTTACATTCTTATTCTTTTTTTCCTAAGGTATCGTATTTTTCAATTTGTTTGTTGTGATGTGATTAGTTACACTATTATAGGAAAAGGTGTGGCAGAATGTGGTAGTGTACTCAAAAGAGGAATCAGCCTAGACGAGTCTCTACATACCACAGATGATTAAGTCCAACCCTCTTGAATGCCATTGACCTTTATCTATAGCCAAAATAGTGCTAACCGTTAGTTGAGTAGATTCCTGTGCATAGGCATGAGTAATAATAAATGAACTTAATTGGAACTTCGCATGTGGTCTTGTTCTTTTGAACCTGACAACTATCAAATTGGAATTTAAAACATCTGGGACTCATGATGTAGCCATTATAGACTATTGACGTAACACAACTGATTATAATATACTTAATTTAGAAGATAAGTTGTAATTTTGAAATCTTGATTTTCTCGCATAAATTATGAAGATTACCACAGTCATCTCCTCAGTTCACTGTAAATCACTGCCTCCATTTACAATAATGGATAGTTTGCTTTAAAAATGAATTTTATTAATTCCTTTCTTTGGCAAGGCAGTCACTGTATTCTGTATGGAAATTAGAAAGCTTTATTAGGTAAAGCTTCAGAATGAAGGGAAATTAAATTCGATTAACATATTTCCTTCTAATTAGTTCTTCATGCAAATAAACCAATATGTTGCCATGATCTAGGCAATGTAGATGTTTCTAATTTAAACACCAAAGATTTCTTAAAGTGCTTGGGAAAATAAAATTTTCATCTGATGCCAAAGAAACATTATATATACACCAGGTGAGCTTCTTACTTCATGGGTGAGGGATATCATCATTGTTCCTTTTCTCTGTTTCCTTCCTACTTTGCTTTTTTAGGGCAGACAAATATGAGAAAGAGATTTAGTTGAATCTTAGGTAAATGTGAGAGGAAACTGACCACAGCTGAATTGCATTCAGAAGTGGACTGGAATCATATGCAGATAACAAATCATCCTTTTAATATACTTGTATCGTTTAGTCCCATTTATCAGTTTAGCTGCCCTCTTTGGATTATTATTATTGGACTGTTTTCAAACACAGGCCATCATAAAACATACTGGGATAATTTAAAAGGAAGATTATCAGAACACATGTAACTAATGCAAAGCTGTTTTGTATTAACAAGATTAGATATGAATGCTGTTATAATAAATTGCTGTTTGATTATAAGATAGCACCTTGAACCTCAGTACCAAGTGAACTACTTGTGACAATGGTAAATTCAAAAGTATAGCCAGATTCCAATCTTATTTTTGGGAGGAAGACAGTCCATTTAGAAAAAAAATAAAACCCATATATCTGGACAGGTAAATCATTCAAAATCAGTATTTGTATCTTGTACATATTCATCAATTAGTTACTTTGGTGGCCTTTTTTTTTTTTGGACCACTTCAACATGATGTACAGAGATTAGGTGGCTGGCTATTTTCTTTTATAGGATCTGAATTGTAGAATTCTCTTGTAAAAAAGATGCTTATTTTTCAAATATTAAGCAAAATTAATCGCTTTCTTCATTGGAATATATATGTGAATGAAATATATATTTTGCAGTACATTAACATATTTTTCAATCCCGCTTTATTTATTCATACTTTAAAAATTAATCTGAATGCTGGATGTCTCTGGAGAATTTTATATAAAATTATTTAGTTTTTCTTTCTGAATTTGTGCTTAAATTATCCAGTGCCTTTGCCAAAAAATAATCCATTAGTGGTAAGGTTTTCCTGTAGGCAATTAGATAAATTACCTGAAATTAACTGACTTAAAACAGAGTTCCCAGAATATTTGTTTACAGTTCTTCCTCTCTAATAAATAGAATAATTAACTACACTTTTCTACTTGGAATAGAAGTTTTCTACTTGAGTTATATATTACGCTGTATCTTAGTGAGTTGGGAAGAGTTATGAGTCCTTTTTTGGACTCTACTAATTTGTAGAGTCTATGCCAGTGATGGCGAACCTTTTAGAGACCGAGTGCCCAAAAACTGTCCCCACCCCTGCTCCACCCCCTGCCCCGTCCCCAATCTGCCCCATCATCCGCTGCCCTGCCTGCCCGCAGGGTCACTCACTGCCTCCAGGGCCCGCCGCAGATTGCCCAGGCAGCCTAGCAGTGCTCTGGCGGTCAGGCCCTCTGCCCACACCGTGCTGCATCAGCTGTGCACAATGGGGTGTGAGGGCAGAGTTTTGTCTACGCTGCCTGGCTACCATGTCCTTGGCTGCGCTGCTCCGCGTGGGCCACACTCGGGGGCGACTCTCCTTCAGGGGAGCTGCTGGAGAGGAGGGGGTCATGGGGGAACGAGGCTGGGGCAACGGCACATGTGCCCACAGAGAGGGCTCCAAGTGCCGCCGCTGGCACCTGTGCCATAGGTTCGCTACCACTGGTCTATGCTACACTGATGTGGTAGATATTATGCAGATTAATCAGTATAATTATGGACCCTCAGTGGTTCTCAACCTTCCTAATGCTGCGACCCCAACCATGTGGTCGTAAGTCGAGGACTACCTGTATTTCCCTGTGGGCGGGGCAGGAGGAGGCACGCATGCGCCGCCTCCTCTCCTGTGGCTGCACGTGGGCTGTCACCCAGCAACCGCCTCGGCCCGGGAGCGCTGCGCATGCGTAGTGCTGTCCCCTGCGCCGGCCGAGGCGTAGCTGGCAAGCAGCAGCAACGGCGCAGGCCGACCACCGGCTGGGCCACCAGCTGGCCCAGCCCAAGGGAGGTAAGCCACCCGCCGGGCCCCACGCGTGCCAGCAACCCTGCCTGCGCCTGCCGCTGCTCCGCTAACCTTACCTTGGCCACCGCACGCTCGGTGCGGCTGCAGGCAGGCCCAGGCACTCCTGGGTGGCCATGGCACATGGCAGCGAGGGCTCAGGCCAACCACCAGCTGGGCCACCAGCTGGCCCAGCCCAAGGGAGGTAAGCCACCCACCGGGCCCCACACGCGCCAGCAACCGTCCTGAGCCCGCCGGCCTTCCACCTCCCACCCCTGGCCCTCTTTTACTTACATTTAGTAGTTGCTCAGCAGGGAAGGGTGGAAACATCCAGAAACCTCGCCTTAGCTGCAGACAACTTGCAGCACTGTTTGCAGACTGGGGCTTTTGGCGGGCTCAGCAGGGCAGAGACAGCCTGGACAATTTCTATTGGCTTTTGAAAGCCAATAGAATTAGACTCTATTCAAGAGAGTCTATTCTATTGGCTTTCAAAAGCCAATAGAATAAAAGGGAGTAGCACAGCTAAGGAAAAGGGGAAAAAATGGCGGACTGCGTTGTTTGGCGACCCCCGTGAAATGGTCGTTCGACCCCAAATGGGGTCGCGACCCACGGGTTGAGAACCGCTGCTCTAGATATATTGGATGTAGCCCTCATGATTACCAAGTAACTTGAATACAAGATGTTCTATATGGTGTGGTAAGTTATTTAGGCCAAACAAATCTTCAGCTTATAGAGGATAATACAGATGTTTTCAGTTCTCTAGCCTGAAATTTTCACACCTCATCTTTTTTTTAAGTATATCTCCTTGAACTAAACATACACTAAAATCTCAATTACAACTACCTATTTGATACTGTTATTTTAAAACAACAACAACAACCCCAGGACGTTGCATTTTTGAATAGATTTCCATTTTAGATATATTGTATGGCCTTTTTAGATATATAGCCCTTTAGCAAATTATGTTGCCAAAAAACTATTCTGCATAGAACCAAGTATATAATGCACACATGATGAGATTCAGTCAATTGTCATTAAACTCTTAAAGTGTTAATTATGTAAATTTTTTATGCTATGTACCTTATTGTATGTTATCATTTAATGCATTATAGGTAACAACACTTAACCACACAAAGAAAATTCAAAGCAATGCTCAATGCACTAACCAGTGTGTTGGAACAGAAAAAACAAAGTCCACTTAGGCCATAAATGTATTCTTCCTGGCCTCCCATGCATATACAAGATATTATGTATGTAGAAACAGCACTTTACTAGTTTTATTTATCCTTTTTTGAAAAGGTTGTGTAAATTATAGTAAATTTGGAATTTCAATCAAGTATTATTATACTATATATATATATAAAATATAGTATATAGTATAATAATATACTATATATTTGCAATAATCAGACCTGTACTTTTTCTTAGGATTTCTTAGGATTCAGAAAATCCCTTTATTTTTGTAACAAGGTTACATTTATATATTTAATGAATACGTTACATTGACTGATCAAAGTTAGAATGGCTACAGTGATTTTGAGCATCAGCAATTTTTCACAGCATGACAAATATTTCATATTTTGATGATTGGATTGGAAATAATTAAATGCAAGATTACCACATATCAGATTATTATTATCTCCAATGTCTAATCAAAGAAGTCTATCACCTGATCACTGAATAATTATAATAATAGCATATTATTTAAATTATTCTAAACTCTTGTATTCCATCTAGGTCAGGATGGCTATCTAGTTGGTTCCCTGCATGGTGTCCTACATCACTTGTACACCTTAAAGATGCTGAAGAGAAAATTTTGAAATGTAAGCACTTTGTGGTAAGAAATCTCCAGCAGCATTCATCTCAAATTTTATGACTGACTCTTTCCTCCTCCCTTTTTTAATGGAGAAAAAAGTTGGAAGAACAATAATAATTAAGAAATAAGCTTTGGTGCAATTGAGCAACTGGTCCCACTAAGAAAAGAATTAGATTTTAATTGGGTAGCTAGTATATTAAACAAAATGGAATATAGCATGACCATAATTTATTGCATTTCAGAGATTGGAAGGTTCAAACAAGTTGCACAGGTGAAAATTGGGAATAATGTAAGTGAATAACCCCTAAAATAAAGTTTGCTTCCTTATTTCACAAGTCATTCTGGACTGTGTTATAAGGTACAATAGTGAAAATAAGGGTTTTCTCAGTGGATTTGATGTCAAAATGTGTTCATTGTGTTTGTAGAATTATTTCAGTATAGACTGAATAATAAGGCTTGTATTTCTTCCTTCAGGTATTACAAGTACCTACAATAAACAATATGTATACCTATCCAATGGAAATAAAATATGGACGCTTACATTCTCTCAGAACCTTTCACAGAAAACTCCACTTGTTCTTCTTCATGGGTTTGGAGGTGGTATTGGACTTTGGGCTCTCAACTTCGAAGATCTTTGTGAAAATAGGACTGTATATGCATTTGATTTCTTGGGATTTGGTCGCAGTAGTAGACCCCAGTTTGACACTGATGCAGAGGTGGCAGAAAATCAATTTGTAGAGTCTATTGAAGAATGGAGACGGAAAATAGGATTGGATAGAATGATTTTACTTGGACACAACTTGGGTGGCTTCCTGGCAGCTGCTTATTCACTAAAATACCCATCAAGGTATATGAAATATTTTTTTTTCTTTTGTTCAATTGTATCAGATTCTTGTAGACTACCTGGAAAAATCCCTGCAGTTTTCTTTGTAAGGTTTTTCAGAAGTGGTTTGCTATTGCTTCCTTCCTCAGGCTGAGAGAAAGCAATTAGCTCAAAGTTACCCAGCTGGTTTTGTGTCTAAAGCAAGTCTAGAACATAATGTCTCCTAGTTTCTAGTCTGATATCTTAACTACTACACCAAACTGACAAGCAATAGATAAAGAAAAATAATTTCTATGAGATAATAGCTTGGTAGAATAATATGATTATACTATGTGTGCAATCTGGAACCAAATGGCTAAATTCTCTGCTTAGCTTCAATTTAACAGTTTTAAATATAGAATTTAGACTTTGTTGTACTTAACTTCCATGTTATCACCTGAATGAATTTACATCGAACATCTTTTTGGGGTTGCTTTTAAATATCTATGGAGGACATTTAAGGGAACCACAAAATACTGCTCCTCATGTGTCGTATTCATGAATTTGATTTCAGAATAATTAAAGAACAAAAACTTGGAGGGGGAGGAAAGTGGGAGGGAATGGCAAATAATTACTGAAGATCATAAGTAATGGAGAAATAGTATACTTCAGGAAAAAGCTAACAATGTTTGCATTAGAAAAAAATAAAGGTTTTCTGTTTCATTTTTATTTAATAGTAGTTTATGTTCTGTGAACTTAGCTATTCTTCAAAAAATCTTTTTGATTGATTCATCTGGCACAGTAGTAGCCATAATTTATCAACTATAGATATCCAGTAGTATATTATAGTATTTATCCCAGAGATGCAAGATGAATTTTAGAATTTTTGTATGTAAATCATGCATTCTTTCACTACAGAACAAATTTTAGATTGGTATTATTACTTAAAAAACAAGAATAGAATTATTGGAATTGTGATTAAAGTTCCATTTTCTAGTAATACTGATTGTAATACATAAACAATTATTTTGAAATTAAAGTGAGAAGAGATAAATGTTTTATTTCTGTTATGTTTTAAGAAAACAAATGCATCTACTCAATTATGTAAGAGTTTAAATGTTGATAATCATAAAGAATTAGAGTATGGAAATACACAGATACTCATAAAATGAGTTGCATTGTTGAAAAAGAAATTCAATAGCTAAATATTACTGGCTTATTGACCAAGCAATTGGTATTGCCAGCACCTTTCCTCACTCAAGATATTGTTCTTAACTATTTTGTATATCTCCAAAATATAGTATAAGATCAGGGAGTAGGGCCTTCTCAACTTGTAAAGGTAATATAGCATTCTAATTTTGGACAGTCTACTTCTCAATCCAATATTGTAAGAAAAGATAGAAAAGCATTGAACAGAGAGCTCACCTGTTTACTTCAACTGAAAGTACGAGACAGCATAGTGGCTTACTCAACATCTGCACATAACAATTCAGAACTGAGTGAATGCAGAAGTAAGATATGTCCATGTTGCAATTGGAGATTGAAGTTTTCTCTATTTATACCTCAGAATGAGAATTTACCTTAATCTTAATCACAACGAGGTTGTAGAAAACTGTGGCTCATCTCTTTTCCATTTGTGAGGGTGATGGTGACAACAAGACTGGAATCCCACGAACCCTTTGCAGCTGGATGACTTTAAGAGAAATGAATAGATTGGCCTATATCAGTGGTGGCGAACCTATGGTGCACGTGCCAGAGGCGGCACTCAGAGCCCTCTCTGTGGACATGCGCACCATGCCCCAAAGATGGCAACCATCCTTCTTCAACCAGCCACCCGCTAACTTGCCGAAGTCCCATGTGGCTGGATGCATCCCAGCATGGCTGGTTTCTCTCCCCCCCAATCCCTCCTGGCCTCGCATGCTCTCCTTTTCCCAGGCACAACCTACTGCATTGCCTCCTCAGCTGTCAATCGGCCGTCCAGCTCAGAGGCAGCTTCTCTGAATTGCTGGTGGCAGGCTGCAGAGCCCCAGAGTGCGCCAGTTGAGGGGCCGGCAGGCTATGGCTGCTGATGGCCTCTGTGTGCGGGGCTGATGGCATCAGGCAGCAGCCACCCTGGCCCCTACCTCGCCTTGCCCTGTGACAATGGCACCCCCACCCTGCCTCGCCTTGCCTCACCCTGTAGGACGAGCCTCCTGCCCATTGCCCCACCTGCCAGAGACCCCCTGGATCTCCAATCCTGCCCAGCCTCCACAGGCGTCCCTCCCCACGAGCAACATCGAGGTGACCACACCCACCTTGGCCACACTCACCCAGTCTGCCATGACCACCACAGCCACGCCCACCCAGTGGGCCATGCCTACCTGGCACCCGGTCATAAATAAGTGGGTTTGGGGTTGCAGTTTGGGCACTCAGTCTCTGAAAGGTTCGCCATCACTGGCCTATATCTAAAGAAAAACAAAAATAAATTTTTATTTCAAGGTTGATCAAAGTGGAGTTCTCAGATATTACTGAACTTCAGAATTCCTCAGTCCTAGTCAGAATTATTAGTGGTAAGATATTATGGGGATTGCAATCCAACACAATGCAAAAGTGCTACATTATATCAGTTCATATTTTGCTAAAATGCTGTAGACCATAAAGTTTAGATAGCTATTGAGATGCCTTGGAATGTAAATGACTTTCTGGCAATGTTTTTTTAAATGAATGATACTGATATATGACTTGATTGTTATGCAGCTAGAGTGAAAATATAGAGATTAGGTTCATAACTCCATAACATTGGAGAGGAATAATATCAACAAAGTTACAATATACATTTATCCAAATCTAAATCATAAAGCACAATTTGCAAGCTGTATTATCTAAGTTTACATAGCAAAATTGGAACAAAAAATAGTATATGATTTATTGTGATTTATTGTCATGAAATGTGAGGGTTGGAGGATAGAGATCATCTCTAGTGCAACCTTGGCCTTTCAGGAAACCAGTGATACAGTTGTTGATCAGTTTGTTTGTAAAGTTAAATCACAGTATTGTGCAAAAGGCCCATGTGTCCTCTCTCCTCTTCTATATCCAGTATTCTTTGGAGAAGCATTTGGGGTAAAGCAAGATTTCAACTTGCTATTTCATCTCTATTGAAGGCCATGGTTAACATGAAGTATGGTTTTAATAGGGTGATCTTTGTCCAGCACGTACTTCCCCCAAAGCCCAACTTATTTCCAGATTGCAATACTAAATGTAATGGAAAAACTTCTCCTTGTACTAGTATGGTTTCTTTCTCCTAGTTTTTACCTCACAAAAGTTGTGATATAGGCCTCCATGGGATTCAATGTATCTGTTTTGTATATTTAAACCCTACCTCAAATTTAAGAAAAGAGCAAAAGAAATGAGCCAAATATCTCTCCTTCATCGATAAGGCTGCTGTCACTAGACTAAGCCTCAGAGGATACATGTTTAAAAAAAAAAAAAAAAGAGTCTCCTCTTCCTCTGATGGAATTGCCCATCCAGGTTTAAATTCAATTCACTGTAATTGTCTATATATAGTGCTATATATCATATACTATCATAAACCCTCTGTAGGTGTTCAGCTGTCTGGATAAAGAATTAGTCTCTGTCCCATTCCATTTTTGTTTGGACTTGAGTACACTCATTAAATAACTCAGCCTGATAAAGCAAAATCTCAGATTATGTGAATGACTGCTAATTAAATATGAGGACAACTGACTTTCAGATAATTGTGTGCATAGAGAAAGGTCAGGGCCAGCATACATTTTCTACCCTGTACCCAGTTTGAAGTGGTTAATAATTCTCTAACTGAACTTTGAAACATAAAATATATATTCTTATTCTATATAAATCTATTTCATGGGTACATACCAAGTGATTAAAGTTGAATCTGAAATAAGATTTGCACTGTTTAAATTATTTCCTTACTGACGAAATACCTTAACTTTTATCCCTGCAGAGTAAAGCACCTTCTATTAGTGGAACCATGGGGTTTTCCAGAAAGGCCTTCCAATGCTGAGCATGAGAGGACTATTCCAATATGGATCAAAGCACTTGGAGCCATTTTGAGTCCATTTAATCCATTGGCTGGTCTCAGAATAGCCGGACCTTTTGGTGAGTACTAACCTAGCTTATTTTGATTGTACTCCAAAGACATCGTTTTTGAAATTGCAGTAAGGTGGACTTTAGGTCATCTATATATTTAATCACTTACCTGGTTAGGTTAGAATGTGGAATCCCATTAAGGCCATTGAGCAAAGTGATTGAGGAAGAACAATGCACTTAGATCTTCCTTTGCATCCAGCATAGAAAGACAGCAGGCTCCTGCCAGAGAATATAAATGCTCTGCCAGACCCAGTCCGGTAATTTTGGGAACCAAGTGCTTTAGATATTTATTGGCAAGGATAAATATGATGGCCAAAATTTCCTGTTTAGCATTAATTTTCTCTTTCTCTTAAAGTTTTACTTTACACTTGAAATGGATTTTTTTACTGAAGAGTTTATTAATTGGTTGGATGCTTAGGGACCAAATAGAAATAAAATATCTGGTGGTTGAAAATATTTATAGGTATAATAATTATTATAATACATCATAACATATTGGATCTTGTGCTAATGTAAGCATAATTTATTTAGAAGAAAATGTAGCTTATCAGATCAGGAATGTTACAATGTTAGCTAATTGTTATTTTTTGTTAGTTAAATTGTATATAACTAAAATAATAGTTTCTTTAATTCTCATATGAATGACTGATAATGATAGTATCAGGCAATGTATTTCAGTGCTTGAAAAAATTGTTATTTTCTGTACATTTTGAAATTTCCCTCCTTTGTCTGTTATTAGCAGTATTAAACGCTTGATTTTGATATATGATAGGATTGAGCCTGGTACAACGTATAAGGCCAGACTTTAAGAGAAAGTATTCATCTATGTTTGATGATGATACAGTCACAGAATATATCTATCACTGTAATGTGCAATCACCAAGGTAAGTGTAAGATTTTAAAAATCTTTATATTAATGAATTATTCTCTAAAGCATTGATCTTTAAATAATCAAACAATGTACAATAGTCTGCAAAGATAGAAGATGTTGTCATTTGCAGAACTACTGTCCTCAAAAAAAAGAAGTAGCTGTAAATAGAAAATCATTTTTATAAAATACATGAAGAACTGACCATGCTGATTATTAGAGGAAGAATGAAATGGAGTGTTTTCAAAAAGGGCATTATAAAAGGGACAAGTAAATTCTCTACTAAATCATTTTCTTGCATGGTGTTTTCTTAACACGTGAAGTCACCATAAATCTACAGCCTTCACTATTGTTTAATGAGCTGTTTGTAAAGATGACAGAAAAGTCCTCTTAAGCTATTACCTGAAGAATAAAGAGCTGACAGGTGTGAGGTTCCTTTGAAATCTGCAGTTTTAATATTTTTCTCTTTTATTCACTCATTCTTCTCCCAACATTCACAAAGGACAGTGTGGTTTTTAAAAAGGTATCACTGTTCATGAAGTCATGTGTGGCAAAGGCTGTATCAGACTTATGCTATTAACATTCCATAGAACTAGAAAGAAATAAAGATATTTATGTTAAATTATTTGGGATTGTATTAAACAGATATGACAAATGCTTGACAAAGTTTTATTTATTTATACACACACACATGCACGCGACAAATGCTAAACAAATTTTAACTTGGTATATATATATATATATATATATATATATATATATATATATACATACATACATACATACATATATACATACATACACACACACACACATACACACACACACACACATACATACATACATACATACATACATACATATCCAGCAATATTAGATGATGTTATGTTAAGGAATAATAATAAAAGTCAGGTTTATGATATTTAGCAAATACAACTTGTTTTTTTCATTGATGTCTTTAAGCGGTGAAACTGCTTTCAAGAACATGACAGTTCCCTATGGATGGGCAAAAAGGCCAATGCTGCAGAGAATTGCTCATATGCATCAAGACATTCCTATCACTGTGATTTATGGAGCAAGGTCATGTATAGATGGCAATTCTGGAGCCACCATCCAGTCCCTGCGACCAAATTCCTATGTGAAAACAATAGTAAGTGAGACATTCTAGTCATTATTTTATTCATTTTGTTTTTAGTCATCCTGTTGCAAGGTGGCCACTCTAATTTATCTTCTTTGAACATTTGGCAATTGGTAACAGATACTTTCCCCTTTATGGATTACTGCCTTGTCGTGGCAAAGGGGCTTGCGTAACTCAATGAAGCTTTAAGCTATGCCGTGCAGGGCCACCCAAGATGGACAGGTTATAGCAGAGAGTTCTGACAAAATGTGATCCACTGGAGAAGGAAATGGCAAACCACTCCAGTATCTTTGCCATGAAAACCCCATGGACAGTATTAAAAGGCAAAAAGATATGATGCTGGAAGATGAGCCCCTCAGATCGGAAGGTGTCCAATATGCTACTGGGGAAGAGCAGAGGGCTAGTACTAGTAGCGCCAGAAAGAATGAAGTGACTGGGCCAAAGCCGAAAGGACGCTCAGCTGTGGATATATCTGGTGGTGAAAGGAAAGTCCGATGCTTTAAAGATTTTTTCTCCATAGGAACCTGGAATGTAAGATCCATGAATCAAGGCAAGCTAGACGTAGTCAAAAAAGAGATGACAAGACTGAACATTGACATCTTAGGAATCAGCGAACTAAAATGGACAGGAATGGGTGAATTTAACTCAGATGACCATCAGGTATACTACTGTGGGCAAGAATCCCTCAGAAGAAATGGAGTAGCCTTCATAGTCAATAAAAGAATAGGAAAAGCAATACTGGGATACAATCCCCAAAATGACAGAATGATCTCAATTCGAATCCAAGGCAAACCATTCAATATCACAATAGTCCAAATCTATGCCCCAACCATTGGTGCTGAAGAGGATGAAATTGACCGGTTCTATGAAGCCCTACAGCACCTTATAGAATTAACACCAAAAAAATGATGTCCTTATCATCATGGGGGATTGGAATGCTAAGGTAGGAAGCCAAAAGATAACCGGAATAACAGGCAAGTTTGGCCTTGGAGTACAAAATGAAGCAGGGCACAGGCTAATAGAATTTTGTCAAGAGAATACAATGGTCATAACAAACACTCTTTTCCAACAACCCAAGAGACGGCTCTACACATGGACATCACCAGACGGTCAACATAGAAATCAGATTGACTATGTGCTCTGCAGCCAAAGATGGAGAAGCTCTATACAGTCAGTAAAAACAAGACCAGGAGCTGACTGTGGCTCAGATCATGAGCTTCTCGTTGCAAAATTTAGGCTTAAATTGAAAAAAGTAGGGAAAAGCACTAGGCCACTCAGGTATGAACTAAATCATATTCCTGATGAATATACAGTAGAGGTGACAAATAGATTTAAGGAATTAGATCTGATAGACAGAGTGCCTGAAGAACTATGGATGGAAGTTCGCAACATTGTACAAGAGGTAGCAACTAAAACCATCCCAAAGAAAAAGAAATGCAAGAAAGCAAAATGGCTGTCTGAGGAAGCTTTGCAAATAGCTGAGGAAAGAAGGGAAGCGAAAGGCAAAGGAGAAAGAGAAAGATACACCCAATTGAATGCAGAATTCCAGAGAGTAGCTAGAAGAGATAAGAATGCCTTCTTAAATGAACAGTGCAAAGAAATAGAAGAAAACAACAGAATAGGGAGGACCAGAGATCTCTTCAAGAAAATTGGAGATATGAAGGGAACATTTCATGCAAAGATGGGCATGATAAAGGACCAAAATGGCAGAGACCTAACAGAGGCAGAAGAGATTAAGAAGAGATGGCAAAACTACACAGAAGAACTATACAAGAATGAGCTTAACATCCCAGATAACCACAATGAGATGGTCACTGACCTCGAACCAGACATCCTAGAATGTGAAGTGAAATGGGCCTTAGAAAATCTGAGCAACAACAAAGCTAGTGGAGGTGACAGTATTCCAGCTGAGCTATTCAAAATCTTAAAAGACGATGCAGTAAAAGTGCTACACTCAATTTGCCAGCAAATTTGGAAAACTCAACAGTGGCCACAGGATTGGAAAAGGTCAGTTTACATTCCAATTCCAAAGAAAGGCAATGCCAAAGAATGTTCAAACTATCGCACTATTGCACTCATTTCACATGCTAGTAAAGTTATGCTTAAAATCCTACAAGCTAGACTCCAGCAGTATGTGGATCGAGAACTACCAGAAGTACAGGCAGGATTTCGAAGAGGCAGAGGAACTAGAGATCAAATTGCCAACATACGCTGGATCATGGAGAAAGCTAGGGAGTTCCAGAAAAACATCTACTTCTGCTTCATTGACTATGCAAAAGCCTTTGATTGTGTGGATCACAACAAATTGTGGCAAGTTCTTAAAGAGATGGGAGTACCAGACCATCTCATTTGTCTCTTGAGAAACTTATATGCGGGTCAAGAAGCAACAGTGAGAACTGAACACGGAACCACTGATTGGTTCAAAATTGGAAAAGGAGTCCGGCAAGGCTGTATACTGTCGCCCTGCCTATTTAACTTATATGCAGAGCACATCATAAGAAAGGCAGGGCTAGATGAATCAAAAGTTGGAATTAAGATTGCCGGGAGAAATATCAACAACCTAAGATATGCAGATGATACCACTCTAATGGCAGAAAGTGAAGAAGAACTAAAGAGCCTCTTGATGCGGGTGAAGAAGGAGAGTGCAACATTTGGCTTGAAACTCAACATTAAGAAAACCAAAATCATGGCATCCGGCCCTCTCAATTCCTGGCAAATAGATGGGGAAGAAATGGAGGTAGTGACAGATTTTATTTTTCTGGGCTCCAAGATCACCTCAGATGGGGACTGCAGCCAAGAAATTAAAAGACGCTTGCTCCTGGGGAGGAAAGCTATGGCAAATCTAGACAGCATACTAAAAAGCAGAGACATCACCCTGCCAACAAAAGTGCGTATAGTCCAGGCCATGGTTTTCCCAGTTGCAATGTATGGCTGTGAAAGTTGGACCATAAGAAAGAATTGAGGCCTTTGAACTATGGTGCTGGAGAAGACTCTGCGAGTCCCTTGGACTGCAAGGCGTTCAAACCGGTCAATCCTAGAAGAGATCAACCCTGACTGCTCTTTAGAAGGCCAGATCCTGAAGTTGAAATTCAAATATTTTGGCCACTTAATGAGAAGAAAGGACTCACTAGAAAAGGGCCTAATGCTGGGAAAGATTGAGGGCAATAGAAGAAGGGGACGACAGAGAATGAGATGGCTGGATGGAGTCACTGAAGCAGTAGGTGAGAACTTAAATGGACTCCAGAAGTTGTCCATGGGGTCGCGATGGGTTGGACACAACTTCGCAATTAACAACAACAACAACAACAACAGATACTTTTTCTCTAACTATTACTGAAACCTAAAAGTGTTCAAATTATTATCCTGTCAGTCTTTTAAAATATATTTTGGACATATGTTTTTCTTTTTGATCCTCTATGTATAAATATGAAAGACAAAGCAATTCAGCATGAATTGAATTGATGCATGGATGCATTCATTTGACTACAGATCTATAACCACTGCAATACTAATAGATCTTACTCACTTCTCCATGATGAACAGATGAGAAGAAGATTATAAATGGGCTGGAGAATTACTTATTCACAAAAACTTCAGTTCTGTGTTCAGGTGGATCCTCCCTATATCCTTCAGGTGTTTTTTTTTTTTTCCTGTGCCTTCAAGTCAGGGTTAACTGCTGATAACTACCTCAGCTAGTTTCTGCAGTTTTCTTGGCAAGGTTTTTTGAAAGTAGTTTGCCATTGCCTGCTTCCTATGGTTGAGAAAGAATGATTGGCCCAGCTGGGTAATCCAGGTGGATTTGTGCTTAAAGCAGGATTAGAATTCAATTTCTGATTTCTAGCCTGATGCCTTATCCACTATACCGATTCTCCCTTCAAATTTAGATATATTGAATCTCACAGGGACTCAGACCAGATTTTTCAGTTATTCTGTTTAGCTTTTCTGTTAAATACAGGTAGTCCTTGATTTACAATTGAGCCCCAAATTTCTGTTGCTAAGTGAGACATTTGTCAATTACGTTTTGCCCCATTTTACAACCTTTCTTGCCACAGTTGCTAAATGAATCATTGCACTTCTTAAATTAGTAACATGATTGTTAAGTGAATCTGGCTTCCCCATTGACATTGCTTGTCAGAAGTTTACAAGAGGTGGTCATATGACCCTAGCACACCACAACCATCATAGATGTGAGTCAGTTGCCAAGCAACCTGAATTTTGATTACATTACCATGGACATGCTGTAATGGTTGTAAGTAAAAAACAGTCATAAATCACTTTTTTCAGTGCCGTTGTAATTTTGAACTGTCACTAAATTAACTATTATAAGTTGAGGACTGACTACCTGTATATCTTAATGTATGCAAATAAAAGTCAATATGAAATCTTATTTTTGCATGGATACCCTTTAAATGTGTAAGAAATAATGAATAAATTTTGTATTAATTTCTTAGATCCCCGTTTTGTTTTATTTCTAAATACACCACAACTATCCCTTTTTTCAAAGCACAGAGAAAATAAAAAAGCAAAACGCTTCCTTACCTGCAGGCTTAAACTTTTTTAAAAAAAAGTCTGAGAGAAAAAGAAAAATACGAACTTACAAAAATAGGGAATTCAATTCATAGTCTATTGCCCTAGAAACACAAATTTGCTCATATTTTTGTAAATGTCAGTAATGTTATAAAACATTGATGTTTGAATGTTAAATTGATTTTTTTCCCCTCTCTTTCATTCTCAGGCTATCCTTGGTGCAGGTCATTATGTATATGCGGATCAACCTGAAGACTTCAACCAAAAAATAAATGAGATTTGCAATTTTGTCGACTGAAAGGTTCTGCTATTTGAAAAAAGAGGCTATAGATATAATTCAAAGCAATACTTTATAGTATATTATAAAAATGTTAAGGAAAAGCTGAAAAAAGAACTGATTTTTTTAATGCACTCTTTTAAGATGTTTTCACACTTAAAACTATGCAGTGCCTTTTATTGTAATGGGCAGATTTAAAAATAGTTGTACATTTTAGTTTGATTCTGTCTCTGTATATTTAGGGGAAATATTATATTTCAATATGTATTAAAACATTTTAAAAGTGGAATTTTAAAAGTGGAATTTTACAAAATTAATATGCAGGAATTTCTATAGCAAAATTACAGTTTGGCTACTTCTTTACTTATTGCAGTCTTCTATCTTGAACTTTTTAAGAAGATGAAAAATTTACTGAGATTTGAGTCAGAAGAATGCATATAGGATGTCATTTCATTGTATTTTATGTGGAATTTGCCAAAATTATAATAGTGATCACTCAGGAAAAAGAGCACAAATAGGAGGAAGAAGAGTTGGGAGATTCTGATTTTTATTTTTTGCTCTTGTAAATGTTGTTTAATGTGCTAATGATTGAGTGCTTCGTGTCCTAAGTTCTAAGGTATTAATACCTTGGAACACCTAAGTTCCACTTGCTTTTAAAGAGAAGTTGCAGAATACAGTGGATTTGACACTGATTATTGCAAGATATATTGATGACCTGATTCTCAATTTTTACATGCTACTAAAATTCAGTCATTACATAGGTCATGGATAAAGTACTGTAGTAGTTAATATTTGGATGAATATCTATTTTCTTACAAGTTTTTGGAATTTTGAGCCAGTCTAACTGTAAAACAATATAATCTTGTCAAAACTAGGTATCTTAGAAAAAGGTATATTTAATTAATTAATAGAAATTAATCTGAAAATGTTATCTTACCTCAGAATTTTTAAAATAAAGTATCCTAATACAGTATTTTAAAGAGCTTATTAAGGCCCTGGATTCTTTTTTTAAAAAAGAACACTAAGGTAAGCTGGTTAAATAAATTAAGCAGGATTGTAAACATAAAAGCAAATTGAGATGTTTGTAAACCAAATGTCTACACAATAACTTGTTGGTTAACTTTTTAATGTTGAATTAACAACTGAATCTCTGTTTTTTCTTATACAAAACTTTTTAGCATATGTGATGTAATTCTTGAAAAGTAGTTATTGTGCTGTTTTTAAAAGTGTCACAATTCTGTTAATATATAAATCAATTTAGAAGTTTATTTTGAACATACTGATCTTATTCCAGATGCTTCAAAATACTAGATCTCTAGATCATTGATAAAATAAGATTTAAGATTTAAAAAACTGAAAACAAAATTCTTCCAGAAAATTTTTGTGCCAAGATAATTGGCAGAATACAATAACTAAAAACAATTACTGAAAACTAATTGTGTTACATCTGTATCTCTCTAATTTATCAGATCACGGATGGCCCAGCAATTTTCAAATATGGAAAACTTGATCCATATTCCAGCTATATTTGAAGAGTATGGAAGAATAGCAGAATATTCTGCTTTTTCCCTGAAGGTTCTGTCACTGGAATAGTATACTTTGTGCATTTTTCTGTGGTTTCATTAGGTTACATTAGATAAATTGATACAACAGCATAGACTGCTCACTATCTTCCGGGTATTCTATTGTCAATAACATCTCATTTATTATTAAATATTTATGTTACATAAATAACATAAAAATACCATCTAATTTGTTATCTAATTAGTAGTATTTTTATGTTATTTATAAACTCCATATTTATAAGAATAGAGCTGATGTCCTTTCTCAATACCTGCAGTTGTTGTCTTGTGAAAAGAAAAATATAACGATCTGTTTCAGATCCTAGTGATGGAAATTAAGCAACGACCAGGATAACAAAACCACAGGGAGTGCTGAAATGTGCCATTTTGACTGGAACTATAAAGCTTCTTTATAAATATATTGATCAAAATAATCAAAATAATTCTGACTATGAGTCATCTATACCAGAGGTAGGCAACATATTAAAATGCAATGAAATCTTGGTAATATGGCATAGTTGGGGACTCCCTGATATGGGAGGAGGGCTGTACCTCCCAAGGGAGAGAGTTGGGGACAGTTTGTGTGTGTGTGTGTGTGTGTGTGTGTGTGTGTGTGTGTGTATGTTTTTTGTAACTATTGGATATGTGTGTGAGAGTGTGATTTAGTAGGTTCCCACTTCTTGAATAGCAGTAAAATGAGAGGAGTGGGTTGGACACCACCTGGCCAGTTAATGAGAGAGGCCAGCCAATGGGATAGTGAATAGTGGATAGCGTTGGCAGCTTGGACCACCTGGATGGTGCTGAGAGTGAGCTAAAGCATTGTGGGGGGGGGCTCACTTCCAACTTCTGAGTTGGTAGGAGATTTGCTGATTGATACAAAAGGAAAGACAGGTTCCTGTATAAAGGAGCTAAGAGGCCAAAGTTGGGGGATGCATACTCTTGGGGGGGGGGCTTTGGGCAAGTCAGTATATTTGGTTAGTGATTGGCATGGGATGTTTTGATGGGAGACAGAGGCCAGGCAGTTTCTGGGGAAGATGACTCCCCAGAAATCATCTGTTTAACATTGAGGTGAGGGCCTGCTCCACAAGTTGCTGCTGAGACCCTGCTTCTGAAGAGAAGTGCCAATTAGCATTGGGGTTTAACAATATGCAACCATGGGGATTGCTGGTGGCTTGAGGGCACTACACCTTGTTAACTTTTTGGTCTTGTTAATTTTTTAACTTTGATTTCTTTTTTAACTTGTAAATTTGAACTTCTTTTTAAAATTTCTTTTTAACTGTGCTTTTACATGTTTTTATATTATTATGTTTGTATATTACCTTAGGTCACTTAGGTGAGGCAGGCAGTATAGAAATTGGATGGATGGATGCCCAACACCAATAAAATACCATTTGTCCTCATTTATCTTATATAAGCAAATTACAGCAACTATTTGCAATATAATTCCCACCAAGATGAATGAAATCTATCAGGTACTCTGAAAATGCAGGGTATGAATTAAATCTTAAGGCAACAGAAACAATAGGTCTATTGATCAGCACTAGTAATAGTTGTTTGTGGTGGCTGGGGTTAACTACAGTATTTAAAAGCATACATATCAAAAATGGCTGCTACTGAGAATATCTTAATCCATCTTTTCAATCTATTGCTCTAAAAATATGTTGGGACCATAATTCTCAGGCAGTGTGGTTAGATAGGCTAGGAATTCTGGGAAATTTAGCCCCTATAATCTGGAAAGCATTACACTATGAAAGGTAGTCTTAATCCATGTATTAGAGAAGACTATTATCACTGGTTCTTGAAGAACTCTGTGTAGATATAATTGATTGACTAGATATGATGATGTTCCATCACTGATTCTGATTCACGCTGCATTCTTCGCTTTAGTGTTCTATCAAGATGAATTCTCTGCCCTTTTTTGGGCTGCAGTACTAAGATTGGCAACTGAATAGAAAGGTTATGCTTTGTTCTCTGTCTTAGTTCATGATTTCCTAGACATGCAGCAGACCAGGTGATAGAAAACAGTTTCTTTATCAGTAATATCTACTTGTTCCTTATAGATATAGCTAGCTGCCAAGATTAAACTCTCAGAGTAACCAATGCTTTTCTTTCCTGAAACATGACAAATAAACAACCTCTTGAACTACTTTATAACAAGATCTTTACACATTGTGCTTTGTCTGTTAAATTCTGAATCAGCTGCACTTCACCACCACATTTGCTGTGATGTAGAATGCAATAGCAAAGTGACAGACAGCTATAGTGCATTCAGAAAGTATTCAGACTCCCTTCACTTTTCTCAATTTTGTTATGCTGCAGCCCGATTCTAAAGTTGTTGAAATTTGCCTTCTGGTTTTGCGCAGTAGTGCAAGTAGCTGAGGGATCGCGGGGCTCTGCATCCTACAGCCGATTCTTCTCTGGGGACCCTAAATGGGCCAAAAGTCACCCTGAAGAGGCAGCAAAGAAGGAGGGAAGCCCCGCTGACCATGGAGAGATGGCAGTCGATCCGGTCGGTGGGGGAAAGCCGTCCAGAAACCACCAGAAGAAAGGCTAGCATTACTCCAGTGTCTAGCCCAGCTACAAGCAGCCGAAGCCAAAAAGCACTAAGTTAAGCTTAATTATAAATAATGTGTTTGGAATTGGGTAAGAATATCGATTCTCTCTCTTCTACTTGATTGATTTCCTGGGGGGAAAAAAACCCAAGAAGCAAAAATCCTCCGAAAGTGAGAGGAGGGGGGGTTTTGCTCCACCCTCCCATAGACGGAAGTGGCGAAATCATTTTTTTATAGGGGACAGAAATACAATGAAATGAAATGAATATAAGACTTAAATCTGGATAAGAGTGAAATTGGTGGAATTAGTTAAGATTTTCTTGGCATAAGATTATTGATGAAAACAGAAAGCAATTGTTTGGAAAACCAAAAAATGAACTGGTGCTGACATCTAGTGATGGATGAAAATATATAATTATGGCTGCTCTAAATACAGAAACTGGCAAGCCCAGGAAAAGGTAACTTGTTATTGTGACCTTCAATGTTTTAACTAAACAAAGAACAGCTATAATAAAAGAAAACATTTTGGGCTATCTATAAAGCAAGAACTATAAAACTTAGGAAAAAAAATTGACCTTCTTGGATTATAAATACTTATTGAATTGTGACTTTAAAGTTGTTTGCAGAGAAAGGAAAACTTTGATTTTTGGCTATAAAGGAACATTAGAGATCTACAGAAAAAATATATCAAGTAAAAACAGATACTTTCCAGCAGGAAATGTATGCTGTGTTGCAACTAATACAAATGACAATGACTTCAAACCACAAGGAAATTAAAAATAACTTTGAAAATTTAAATGAACATATCTTCAATTTAACTTCACAACAAAAAACTCTCAAAATAAAAAAAGAGTGATCAAGTAAAGCAGATAACTGAACATAAACCAGAGGGAAGAGATTCAAAGATGGAATCCAACAATGGAAGGAACTATGATTTAACCCAGGCAGAGAAAAACTTGCAGGAAATATTCGATATAGAAAAGACAACTTATACTTCAAGATTGCAAAATAAGTTTAAGGACAACAAACAGGATTTGACAAAATGGATTACAGAGCTGTCAGGAGAACTTGAGAGACAAAAAATGATAAGAGAAACTAAGAGAGAAAGAAAAAGTTTTCCAAGGAATATGAAGGGGCAAAACATACCCACATAAACACTTTACTTGACTTGTCTCTTGTACCTACAACGATATCTACAAAACTATGGGAAGACCTTTTGATCCAGTGGAGCATACTGATTAGGAAAGATGTTTGGTAAAAAAAAAAAAAAGGCTAAACTTAGAATTAAGAAATTAGATGATGGGGCTTACCAGATAGAATATTTAAAGATTAAGCACTTGTTTGAATATGGTTAAAGAAATAAAATTTTGGATATAAATGAATTTTAGTTTAAGAAGGATAGGCTCCTCAAGTAACATAGTATTTTTTGTTTATAATATGAGAAATATAAAAATGTTGGGATGATTTATGTAAGGGAAATGTTTTAGATACTTACGTGTAATAGATTTTGAGAAAATTTCAATTAATAAGAATGTTTTGAATAGTCCTAAAAGATTAGCTGAATACTTATAGATTAAATATTGGTTTGAATATACTTTAAAAGAATAGAAACTTTTTTGTACATGAATGTATTTTAGCTTAAGGGACATGTTTTTCAAATAGTATATTATTTCCTTCTTTTTTCCTTCTCTTTTTTTTGCCTTTGTTCTAAGATATGAGAAATGTAAAATTGCTGGAATGTATGAGGAAAAAGACTTAAATACTTAACTGTAATTAACTAAGAAAATCTTAACAGGTAAAAATGTTTTTGAACATTGTGGGGAAAACAAATTTAAATGAAAACTTTAAAAACAGGATCTATAACAAGGTGATTAAGATGATTAGAAAAGCTTCATATTGATGTGGTTGTTATTTATAGAAATACCAGAAAAATGTCTATATCCAATTGTTCTATATTCTACTAAAATACTAAGAAATGTACTAATTTAAGATTGATAAAAGAGAATATTATTGGAAGAAGAGAAAATCTAGGAAAGCTACTATGTGGAATATGGAATTATAGAAACTAACTGTTATTGATTGTTTGTAAATATAAACTCAGACAACACACTGTACCAAATATTCATGGTGATTATTTAAAAAATAATAATAAAATATATTTAAAAAATAAAGTTATTACAATTCATTTTTTTTCATTAATCTACACTCAGTACCCCATAATGGCAAATTGAAATCAGAATTTTAGAAATGTCTGTAAATTTATTAAAAAGAAAAAATTGAAACCTTATATTGGCATAAGTGTTCATACCCTTTGCAACAACACTTGAAATTTAGTTCAGAGGCTTCCCATTTCTCTTGATCGTTACTGACATGTTTCTATATCTTAATTGGAGTTGATCAGTGGTAAATTAAATTGATTGGACATGATTTGGAAAGGAACACACCTCTCTATATAGCAAGTAACAATGCATACCGTAGCAGAGCAAAAGCCATGAGGTCAAAGGCAGGATTATTGCAAGGCACAGATCTGGGGAAAGCTACAAGAAGCCTACAATAAAATCTCTGCTGCATTGAAGATTTCTAAGAGCACAGTGGCCTCCAAAATTCTCAAATGGAAGACATTTGGCACAAGCAGGACTCTTCCAAGAGTTGGTTACCCAGTCAAACAGAGCAATCAGGGGAGGAGGGCCTTAGAGAAGTGACCAAGAACCTGATGGTCACTCTGACTAGGCTCCAGAGATCCTATGTGGAGATGGGACAGAGTTCCAGAAGGACAATCTTCACTCAGCCCTCCTTTTGATGTTCACTATGTTTACCAACTTTCTATTAGCATATCTATTTATATTGGTAGTTGTGATGAATCACAAAGAATTAATTTGTACATTCTTTTTCAAAGATGTCCACAGGGCATGATAAAAAAATGTCTAGATGGCAGCAATTGAAGCTCTCCCCAAATTTTAATGTGCATTGCACATGTTCTGTGAATATCCCTGTTCCCTTTTTGTTTCTCCTGGCTTTTCATATGATAAGCCCCAGGTTAAACACAAATATAACAAACACCATCCATGGAAGTAAGAGGTTGCAGTGTTATGAACGAGAGGCATCTGACTCACTTAGAAAGGGAGCAAATCAATTACATGCCTTGTGGTCAGTATGGATGGTAAACTGACCTAGATGACAGCAATTACCAATAGATTTTCTTGACTTCCTGGCATTTGGAAATTACTTCAAAGTGATGTAAACAAAGAAGAAATTCTAGATTATTGCTACAAAATTAGTATCCATTTGTTTATCACCTGTCTGAACTACCTTGTCTTAAATGTAGTTGTTTACTTCAGACATTCATTTCCCAAAAGTCTTTTAAAATTCTAATCTACTCAACAAGTACTTACTTTTGAAATCTTGGCCCTTTGTTAAATGCTAAAACTGAGCCAGAAATGGCAAAAGGTTCTTGATTTAAAACTCTTCCTTCATATTCTTTAACTCTCTTGATGGGGTCACAATTAGAATTAAAGGGAAGGGAGAATATGTCTGCATAAACAGACAATTCAAAACTTTCTACAGGTGTTTCTATGACCATATTATTTAACAGCAGCAACAACAGAGTCTATATTGCAGTGTCTGTATCACAAGTTTTTTGCATATCCAGGCAATACTACAAGATTCAACTGCCATGTTTGCCCTATTTCAGACTGATTCTGATTTTTGTTTTTGTGGAGTTTTTTCAATTATAACATATTTCAAGTATTTTTAGCCAAGGCAAATTTTCATCTATTTAATTCTCCTGTGCTACCGATATTTAATATTGACATGTTTCCCCATGTTAAGTATAATTATTTAGGTCAGTATCTCAATCTCAGCAACTTTAATATGTGAACTTCAACTCTTGGAATACCCCAGCCAGCATACATCTTAAAGTGCCAAGTTTGAAAACCCCTGCATTAAATGATGTAGACAAGTTCCATGTTCTCAATCCTGTGCACTCTGATGCACCTTTTGAAAGATCAGTTTTGTGGGTATGCATCCAGATACACATATGCATAAAACAGGCAGCTGCATGAACAAAAGAAACAAATGGTAACACTTGCATCATGACGGGAATGACAATGGGAATGATACAGCTGTGCTTATCTCAGTCATTGTAACATCATGATGTCTACTCATTTGGATAACGTCTTACCAGATGACTCATTTTCACATAATTGTGGCCAATTTCAGACACCTATGAAGTATATTTTTATATGTAAATGCATTTTTCTTATTCATATTTGACTTCTCCAATTGTCTAAAGTAGATTAACTGAAGCCCAGATGGTACTCATAAAGAAAATTCAATATAGAGTGGATCAAAGTCTCAACTTTCCTCTTTAAAATGGATTTTCTCTCTACATATACAACCAAACTCTTGGAGAAATCAGTGCTGTATTCACAGTTATAGTTCAGCTCCTTAGACTGATTTTCTTACTGTTCATCAGCAATATTTATATTTTCTCTTTGATTTCTCCTAAGATGAGTTAGACTGATTGTAATGTTGGCTCACAAAATGCACACACTCAGGAAAACTGGGCTCATTTTTATAGTACTTATTGCTATGATCCCCAGAGTCCTATTCATTTAGAAATATGCTTTTTATGAGACTTTGTTTACTGGAAATATGCATTCCCAAACAGGTCCAGCAGAGGGAAATAATCTTTCACTACTGGATATGGTACCTCAGTTTGTTCTGTTCCATAATGTCTGTTAATATGCACTTGGTCTTTTTCTTCTTTCTTCCAGCAAGCAGGAAGTGATTCCTTTGTTTGAATTGCAGGCAGGCTTTTACAAATAATTCTGATGGCCATTACTGACATCAGAGTACATACTGACTAATCAATGATTCCATTACAGGAGGAAGACTCTTCAAAAGCCCACTATGCCTGCTGCTCTGTGGGTGAAAACAAAAAAGCTCTCATAAGAAAGCATTCCTATCAGGGTTGTTTGCTTATGTAAGACACTGTTCAGTTTTTCTCACAAGTCAAGATCCTTGTTTGCTAGCTTTTCCATTCAGTTCAGGTTATTGGTCTTTCTGTGCTCTTGACATCAGTCTTGATTACTTTTTCCCTGTGTGTCACTTTGGCAAAAGAAAAATGAAAAAAAAGATGAGTGTATTTTAACCATGCAGTCAGACAGCTTCAGAGAGGGAGACAGTGGACCATCAGGCCATGTTTTCTGCTGATTAAAAAAAGGGGGGCATAGCTTCTTATGTATGCAGCGACAATCAAGAAATCTGGTGATATTCCTACTCTTTGTATGGCTAGTTCTTAGGAGCAATATAAAATTTATTACACAATTTATAAATGCTGCCAGCAGTGGAGATTGGAAAGTAGAGATTGAAACTTATCATTTGCAATTCTTTCCCTTCTTTGAGCAACAAAACAATATTTTAAACAACCTGAACATATATAGGAAGGAGTTCCTTCTTGCCAAATTTTAAACAGCCGGCCCTACTGCTAGGAAGGCAGCTGCTTTGGAATGTCAAGAAAAACATTAGAAAATTATTTAAGCTGTTATTGTTGCATCTTTACTGACTTACAAGATTTTCAGTCTTGGATGCAGGAATCGCTCTATTGACTGTGGGCCTTGTATACTTTGACTTGTAGAATTTTTTGCTTTACTACGTAGAACAGACATCTCGGACATAGCTGATCCTGAACCAAGATAGATAAAAAAGAATCCACATGGGCGGTTCAAAATCTGTAGGATTGAAATTATACATCACGATAGGGACTCTTTTTTACAGCAATATAAGCATTGTGTGCACAAAGAGGATGGCTTTTTTATCACAACACTGCACATATCAGTGTACAAATCTCGATTATTAGCTAGATATTGTTTTGAGATTTTCTTGGTACAATAAGCGACAAAGTAGCATATCAAGGGTAGATTTGTAACCTGAAGTTGCATTGATAGGCATGGTTTTCAAGCCTATTTCTGATCCTAGAATTGATGCTGAAGATGTTAGCAAAATCCTGCTACAGTTTTAGAACAGTTTTTCTCAACTTCAGGCAACTTTATGGTGGCTGGGTATACTGGGAGTTAATGTCCACACTTTTTAAAGTTACTGAGATGGAAAAACACTGTTCTGAAGGAACCAATATACAACAGTAACCAAACACCCCTTTGCAAAAACAATATCTGCACAAAATGACTGCCTGCATTAAATGACTGTCTGATGTACATTTCTTAAACTGTTTACAAAAAGAAGTAGTTAAGGGTTTATTGCATGTGAATG